TAAATCTATAATATTTTTTACTTTATAAATTAACTCCAAGTTAAATAAGTAGTCCTGAAAATTTACTTTTTCTTTGACGAATTCTGGAATATGGAATTTAATAGGAACTACTTCCATTGAGTCTTTAACTTTAATAGGAACTACTTACATTGAATCTTTAACTTTAATAGGAGCTACTTCCATTGAGTCTTTTACTTTAAATTTAATAAATCAAATAAATCTTCTCTAAAAATCGTCACCAATAAAATGTTTTATTAAATAAGTAAAATAAGTAAAGTAAGTAAAAGTATCTTTAATACAAAATATCACTTATATATATATATAATGAATTCAATCCTTCAGGTTATGTAATTTACAAACGAAAAGTTAATATTATATTCAATTTAAATTCAATTTACAATTACATTTATATTTCAATATACTTATTAATTAATTATATTTACTCAAATACTAGAAGTTTTTATCAATAAAATTATTTTTTTTACATTTATTCATTTTGGGTAAAATATTTTTTACCATTATATTTGATGACTGAAATTTTTTTTAGTTTTGACATATATTTTTTTTAAACATTTTCAATGCCTTTCCGATCAAAGTTCTTCTTCCTTTAATCTCTCGCCGTCAAAATTATTACATTTACCAAACCAAGGTCCTTCCTCCGTTCACCATGGTCCATCTTCTTCGAACTTCTGGCCCCTGCAATTAATTCTCACACAAGATAATATTACTCATGATACTACATTTTCATCTACACATTTTTCCCTCTCTACCTTATTCCCAAATACAAATAGAATCTTAGATCCTATTAAGAGTAAAATAATAAGTATAATAAAGAAACTAAAAAATCACAAGGCGTGTGGACAAGATAATATTCGTAGCGAATATTTAAAAACTGACCCTATATTATCCACCGAAATTCTTTTCCCAATCATAACGAGAGTATGGAAGGAAAGGACTTGCAATAGTGATTGGCTAACGGCTGTCCTAATTAATTTCCCAAATACTAAGCATCCTAAAGCTCTAGAGGATTGGAGAGGGATTTTACTGAACTCTATAATCTATAAGATTTTCACTAGCATTATCCTAAATCTTCTCAAACCTTTTGTGGAACGAGATTATGGGGATTCAATAGTTTCATTTAGGAAGGGACATAATGCTCTTGAAGCTATTCTCAATCTAAAAATACAAATAGAGAAATCTATTATACAGAAAAGGCAATTAATAATTATAGCTCTTGATTTTAGGAAAGCTTTTGATTCTATTATCCACGACAGTTTATGGAAAGCTTTAGAAGAAGTTAATACGCCAACTTTCGATCCAAATTATCCATGCAGGTCATAAATCATCAAAAATTCCAGTTAAGATAGGTCTGAAACAGGGATGTGTCCTTTCTCCTCTTCTTTTTAATTTTATTACAAATTATATCATAAAGAGTGACTAAACAATGCTTGGTTCAGATACCTATAGCGAAATTTAATATTCTGGCATTTGCTGATGATCTTTGCATTATGGGAGATTCTGTATCACACCTTCAATTGCTAGTGGATATGGTTATCCAAGCTGCTGGTTTTTTTGGTTTAAAAATAAATGTTGATAAAACTAAGTTGATGATATCATTATACTCCCCTTCAAATATGAATATAAAGATACAAGGGAGAAAAATAGTAGAAGTTCAACAATTAAAATATCTAGGAGTGATACTGGATAGAAAAGGAAATACTAAACTAGACTTAATAGCCAAATTAAATAAAGGAAGAATGAAATATAGATCTTTAATAAAAATATGGAGTTCTAATCAAATATCAATTCCTTTAAAGATTCGATTATTTAAAAATATTCCCCTCTCTATTTTATGGTATAGAAACCTGGAAAGATACTAAACAAGAAAGTAAAAAGATGCAAACTTTCGTTAACAAATGTCTTAGGTATATAACCAAAACATTCTATCCTTATAATACTATGAACTATAATCTTTGGTCCAGATGCGACACCTTCCCTATATATAGACTGGGCGAATATAGAAAAATCGAAGTATTAGGGCATATTCTCAGACAAGCCCCAAACAACCTAGTTTATCAAGCTCTTTTTATTACCCCTTTGGATGAGTCATCGCATAGTTGGTTTGGAAGATTAAATCGATCATTATCGGAAATAGGTTTATCTTGGGAATTCATACAACGTGCTTCTTCTGATAGGAAAACTTACAAAATTGTACTAAGACTTATCTATGAACACTTGACGAATAACTGCTGAGAATATAACTGAAAAGCTATTGTGTAGAAAGGAAGTGTAGAAGAAGTCATTTATTCTAAATAAACAAGTCAAGAAGAGTATGTTAATTTTATTATATTATTTAAAAATACAATTTCATATATTGTTTTGATCTATATCTAAGTGTAGAATTAAATTTGATTAGGGTTATAGTAAATGAAGGCGCATTAAAGTATTTCAAGTTATAAGAAAATTATAAATAGGTTAACCATTACACTATGAGAATCAAGGTACAAATAGGTTAAATAGGTATATTTAACTAAATAATTATAAAAACCAAAATATAATTTTTATATCTTCTAACTAATTAATTGGTAACAAATCATAAATTAACTAAATGAAATAAAATAATCCTATTAAATAAGATCCTTGCTCAAGGATCAACAATAAAAATAATTTTTATAATAATAATAAAACTAATAATTTGTATTGGATGATATACGTTTTCTCAAAATTACTCATAACTATTCCTTATGCTAATATTATTATTGGATTGGGTGAGTTCCACACCTTTAATAATTATATCTTACAAGGTTTGTTGGTATCCTTGAGGATTAAAATCGGCATAATTATTATGGAGGATAGGGCCTCTATAGTAAGTAACGTTCGCTCATTTGGGCAGGTCCATAACCAACGTTTAAGATAAGATAAGATAAGATAAGATAAGAAGAAATTATATATTGGTAGGGGTGCCTTTGATCGTAAGACACTTCATCGTATTTTTCGTCCAACTCGTCCAATTCGTTCAAAATGGAGATTAATAGGTTTGAAATGGTAAAAATTAAATTTTTACCATAATCTTACGTTAAATGTTAATAATTCTTTTGGAATGGTAAAATTTAATATATATTATTCAAATATAGAATATTTAGCAGGTTTCAAATGGTAAAATTTATCTTAGCTCTTACACAATATCAAAAGAACAACCTAGGATATAATTTCTACAGCAAATTAAGAAGATTAATAGGTTTAAAATGGTAAAATTTAATATATATTATTATTCAAATATAGAATATTTAGCAGGTTTCAAATGGCAAAAATTTATCTTTTTATCTTAGCTCTTACACAATATCAAAAGAACAACCTAGGATACAATTTTTACAGCAAATTAAGAAGCTTATTTTATTATTCAAATTTATAATGTATATGACATATGTTAATTATATGTATAAATCGAATACAAAAATATAAACAACTAATATTTATTTAGCATGTATAAAACAAATAAAAATTATTTACAATGTATAAAACAAATATAAATTAAATATTATCAAATACATTTGAATTGTATACTAATTTAATATAAGCTGATGATTTATCAGCAAACTCCAATTTATTAATAATATGATTATTATATTGTGTAGTCAGCTTTTCCAAATTTCTTTCTTTTAGGATATATTTGGAATTTGTTTTTTTAGAGTCATTCCTATGAGGTAATATAATGCCTAATAATTAAATGATTATAAAATTTGATAACTTGATATGGCATTAAGAGGTTGCATGTTAGGTGTTGAGATTGAGCAAATATATTACCTAAAAGTAATGAATATAAAAAGATAATAATTGATGATACAGTCAAAACCGTTTAATTGCGAAAACTTGGAACCGAAATATTTAAAAATTTGGCAATTATCCGATTTTTCGCAAATATACGATTAAAATTCAACAATTTATTTATTAAAAATCAGTTTGTGTTTTTTATAAAGATATTTATCATCTATATATATTTTAATCATATAAGCCATCAAACTTTGCAATAAATACAATTTTTAATTAATGTAACCAACTATATATTTTAATTTGAATAAGTTATGTAACGAATAAAAAAACTAAATTTTAAAAATTTATCTTATTTGTTGAAACATATGATCATAGCTTTTTTTTTCTTCCCACCAATAATCCTATATTTTTATCGTCAATTCATCAAGTTATTATTTTATAAAAAGTATTCAATTAATTTAGATCAATCAAATAATATTAAAATATCTGAAGCACTTGAAAGTAATGTGATATATTTTGATATATATATTTATATTTTCTCTAGATCTAGACATGATTATAGACAGAAAGGAACAAAGAAAACAAGACTTAATTATAAAAAGATTGTAATTATTTATGTATTAGCATTATAGTTGTTGATAAATTATTTTTTATTGAATAAAATTATAATTAAATTTGTTTACTTGATTTTATCTCATTTTTTATTTAAGATATGTAAGAATTAAAGCAAAAAAAAGCTTTTGTGAAAGATAATAACATTTTTTCCTTTACAATACCCAAATATTTATTTCCATTAATTTTAACTACTTTTGTCATTTTACCTTCATTAAATTTACTGAAATATAATTTTACACAAATATATTATCACTTTTTAAATTCTAATTTATTATTAAAGCCAAATTTTAAAATATTTTGCCTAAAAAACTGGAAACAATAAGATTAATATAAAAGAATTTAAGTTTATTAAGTGTTTTGTTTTCATTCACATGATATTTGATTTAAAATCCTATGCCTATTCAAATCTTATAAATTCTAATATTATAAATGTAAATGTATTAACAGACCATGCTGGAATGAAAGTTTATTAATGCTTTATAACATAAGATTTTATTTGAACTAATTTTATTATACATGTATCACAATTATTATAAAGTAATATAAGATTTAATAAAAAATATTTTGTGATAAGAGTTTGGCTAGACTCTGGAGTAAATAATTCCTTTTCCACTATATTCTCTAGCTTTCTTAGTGAATCTTGATCCCTTAGATGTTCATGAGCATATTCAAGAAAAGTATAATAACCATTAAGAGCCTGATTTTTTGTAATTAAATGATCAGATATCTCTAGGTTCCCTTCGTCATTCTCGAAGCTTTCATAACCTTCTATAAAAAATAAGATTAATTAAAATTTTAAGTAATTAAACCTTCCAACTCTAATCTTATCTGATTACAAATATCCTGATCATCTAAAATTCCATGGCAGCTAGCATCATCATTGTGTAACACATATTCTTCAAATATGGGATCAAATTCATCTTCTTCGTTGTCAGTTAATGCTATATCATCCTCCGATTCCTAATCAAATGCCATAGACTTATCAAAAAATTTATAAAACACTTTATGATTGTGGTACTTGTCACCTCACCCCATGCAAATTTTATAAGATAGAGGCTATCATAAAGTGTAAATCTTTTATAAAAAGAAATGGTGTCATTTCCTTCCATCAATGTTATCATTTTTCTCATGATACCCTTTCTATAATGACATTTAAAGGATCTAATTGCACCCATGTCCAAAGGTTGAATTAATGATGTTGTATTTGCTGGTAAAAAAATTAATTTTATATTGTTAAATGTTAATTTTGTTTTGTGACAAGATGCATTGTCACAAAACAATAAAATTTTCTTCTTTAATGAGGAATCCCATTCTTTAAGAATATCTTCAAAAGTTGAGGTTGTCATCGAGCTGCTTTTATTGGAGTAGTATTTAACTGGTAATTTTTTATTTTTAAAGCACCTAGGGTTTTTAAATTTCCCTACAACATATAAATTTTTATCAGATCCATCCCCATTTATGATAAATAGAACTGTGACCTTTTCCTTGTCTGGTTTGAAGCCCAGTGGTTGAGTTCCACTAAATTCCATTGTGCCCTTTGGTAATGCTCGGTAGTATAGTCCTGTCTCATCACAATTGTAAATATTACTCCTTTGATAATCTTTAATCAGAGATGGGAGTGTATTTCTGCTCCATTCATTTGCATTAATAATATCTGCACTCCCCTTTTCATTGCAAACATTATGAAAATTTATATTCTGTCTTTTCCTAAATCTCTGCAACCAGCTGCTAGGAGGAATGCCTATAATTTATATATATATATTATAAAAACTTATAATTACCTTCATTGAATGTTTGGCTAAAAAACATAGCTTTTTCTAACATCACTGGCCCATTTAGACAGCAATTTTTACTTAGCATTTGTGTAAACCAAACCAATAAAGCTGCTTCTGTCTTTGGGTAACAACTCATTCTAACTCTTTTAGTTGTAAGAGGTTTATTCCTTAGAAATTGTGAGCATAGATTTTCTTTATTCGCTATTAAACGGTAGATTGTCGAGACGTGGCATTTGTAATTTGATGCTAATTGTGTTTTTGATGTAGTGTTTAATTTATCAATTATTTCTTTTTTATGCTTCAGGGTTAATGTTTGGAATGATTTTTTTACCATTTTTATATTAATTTCTGGCGTGGTAATGAATGAATGAATGAATGGAAAAAGGTTAAATAAAAAAAATGATGAATAATTTTTTTCGATAAATTTTTTTTATTTTTTCACTTATCCGATTAAATTAACGTTATTGTTATATAAATGGGACCTGAAAAATTTTGCAATTATCCGATATTTCGCAATTAACCGATTCGCAATTATAAATGTAATTTAACATTATACCATAGTAATTATTATCAAAATCGCGGGGTTTTTTCGCATTTAAAAGTTTTTGCACTTAAGCGATATGCAATTAAACGGTTTTGACTGTACTAGTTAAAGTTGGTTGAGAGTTTGTGACAAAGAACTGAGACTGAGTAAACATATTGCCTAAAAAAAATTGATTATAGAAATTTTATTTTGTGAAACTTGATATGGTATTAGCAGACTGCATGTTGGGCATTGCTAGAATTTGAGATTGAGTAAGCTGATAGTCTAAAACTATATTGATTTTAAAAATCTAATATTTTATGAAACTTGATAATGAAGGTTGTATAATTTGTTGAGATAATTGGAATTGAGTTATTGGTTGACTATCAGACATAAGTAGAAGGTTATTGACTAAATAATAGGTGTTATAGTGAATTATCTATAAAAAAAACTTACCAATAGGGGATTTACATTGTTCTAAGGTATGATCCTGAGTTTCTGTGAACTTACTGATTGAAAAATACCCCGTCCAGAACAACTTTTTCTTCTACATCAGTAATATGATTTGGAATTAATTACTCTATGCAATATATACTCCAAATCATTAAAACATAGAATATCATGTCCTCTTTTGGATTTTTTATTAGTAATTTTGTTTTCTAAAATTACATTACTAAATTGATTATATCTAGATTGTTAACATTGAATTTTATTGGGATTAATTCTTTTCTCAAGAAGAATTGTGATACTGTTTGATACCGTTTTAATTTCCATTACAATGATTATAAATAAAAATATTTTTAAACTATTACTTTTCCCGCACTTTAATGAACCAATCACAGAATTGTACGAAACTTTACGATGAAGTGTCCATACGATCATAGGCACGGAAATCTATATATTTTGGTACAATTCGGATTAAAATATTAACCGATAATGAATACCTCCACAATTATTTTCAAGACTTTATTACCTAAATTTTCTGTATTTCCATTAATTAATCTAAGTATTTCGAGATACAGTTCTTCCCTCCCATTTAATACAATGATGATGTTTGTGCCTCAGCAAGAGGCATGGATAATTGAAAGAATGGGCAAATTTAATCGGATATTACAACCAGTAATATTTATATTTTAATTAATTTTTAGTTTGAAGATATCCTAGGGTCTTAATTTTCTTTTACCTTTTATTGAAAGAGTCAGATATGTACAAAATTTAAAGGAAATACCTATTGAAATTCCACAACAGGGTGCTATTACAGCTGGTTATATATATTAATATAAAATATAATATCTTTATTACAGATAATGTTGGATTAACTTTAGATGGTGTTCTTTATCTTAAGATATTTGACCCTTACAAAGTTTGATATTATTTTAAATAATTAGATTTTGATATCTAGGCAAGTTATGGAGTTGAAGATCCAGAATTTGCTATATCTCAATTAGCTCAAACTAATATGAGATCAGAAATTGGTAAGATATCATTGGATTCTGTTTTTAAAGAGAGGGAATCTTTGAATATAATGATTGTTGGTAAATAACTAATTCATTTTATAAAAATGATTTTTTATGAAATAGCTTCAATAAATAAAGCATCTGAAGCTTGGGGAATCAGTTGTTTAAGATATGAAATAAGTATGTAATTAAAATAATTGTTGCATCTTGTAAAATTATTATATATGTATTATAAATGTTGCAAATTCAAAATACGAGTATACTTGTTAAACATATTTTTTTACCCTCCCCTATGACCCCTCACCCTTTTTCTTTAGCCATGCCACAGGTTTTCTTAATTAGCATCATACAACAGTTTTAATCTATGATTATGTTTTATTAATAGGACAATGGATTACAATTTTGCAAGATACATCAATATTTGTTAATGTTTATATAAATATAAGAGGGCTGAAAATGGTCCGAATAGGCAAACTTTAAACCTGGCCTGGGCTTAAATGCAGCCTTTGAACTTGCTAGATGTTTAAAAGAATAAAGATAGCAGGATGATAGCCAGGAATTTTTAACTGGAGGGCCATCTGTTTATTCTGGGGGTGAGGGGGGCAATATTTTTTAAAATAATTAGCTAGGTACTCATAAAATTTTAGCTATTTTTATCATAGACCTGCAGAGGCAGCATTTGCACAGCCTAGCCTGGATTTATTTTCCGCTGTCTGGGTATGATTTTTATAGCTAATAATGTGATTTTAAATTTTCTGCCTAGCATGGGAATTTTTTTAAAAAAAATTTCATGGCATGGCCCGAGTATATTAAAAAAAATTAAAATACGACATGACCTGGCAGCTCTCTGATTTTTTATTAAAAATTTGTAAATGTAAATATGAATTATAAAATAATACTAAGAAATGAATAAACAAAATATTTTATTATAAATTTTAACGTAAATGAATTAAAAGCTAAATTTTGTTGTTGCTCCATAGAACTTTTTAGTATGAGTGAGGCAGCCGTATATATCCCAATGGTGAAGGCTGACAATTCCTTAAATTCAAAATATTTTTTTATATATAATATTTATGATATTTTTAAAATTATAAACTTTAACCTCTACAGCTAATAATCCTTTTATTATTTTCATTTTGTGATTTAACACTTTCATTTAAGTTTAATAATGTTTATCTGATATAAAATAACCAGGGTCAAGGGGGGACAATGAAACCTCAGCAGTTATTCCACTTTGTTTTTTATTTAGCCACTACCCAATTTATAAAAAGTGTAATGAGGATTTTATATATTTTGACTTCAGAATAGGCAGAACAAAATGATGCTTGTTTATGCGCCCTCCTACAAATAAAACGATTATCCAAAATAATTCCAAATATCCCATTCTAGCTCAATCTTGCTGAATTTAGGAACTGATGTTATCATTTTTAATGTACAAAATACATTTCTAAAATTTGAAAAAAAATTAATATGTGTTAAAATTAGCTATTAAATTAAATCTGGCTAGAAAGTTTGTACCTAATTTTAAACTAGGATGGGGCATAGCATAGCGATATTAATTTATTAAGCTTGTGCATGCTGAAACACTTTTTAAGAAAGTTTTGATGGCCCGCCGAACGGTCTATTATTTTGAATCCTTTTTTTAATACTGGAAATTATTTTAAAATTTAAAAAAAGAAAAGATTTATATTTTGATTTAAATTTCAAATTAAAAAAAAAATTTCTAATATGAAATTAAAGAAAAATTAAAATTTTTTTTTATATTTTTGAAGTGGGGTTTATTAAGTTATGAATAATTTTGATGTTTATAATGAAATATGTTGACGATAAAAATAAAACCCCTTTAGATAAAAATATTTTCTTTGCAAAAATAAAATAAAATTTACTATTATATAAATAAATTGTTGAGAAAATCACTTTTGCTTAATTTCACAGCCTTCTTACTCACATACGATAATACACAATGTTGTGATGAATTAATGAAACATATTGACGATTAAATTAAAAACCATCCATATAAAATTATTTTCTTTGCAAAAATAATAAAAATATAGACAAAGTATTATTGAAAATTCTTTTATTACTCCTTTTGTTATTTTAATTATTTTTGCTAAGAAAATAATTTATGAATTTTAATTTAATTGTCAATATGTTTCATTAAATCATCACAACACTGTATATAAGAGGAAATCCGGTCTATATCTTTGAACGACTAATTTAATAGATAATTACAACACTTCACTAGATTATTACAGTGTTGTGATGATTTAATGAAACATATTGACGATTAAATTCAAACCCATTCATATAAAATTATAATATTTGCAAAAATAACAAAATGAATAATAAAAGAAATTTCAATAATGCTCTGTCTATATTTTAATTATTTTACAAATATAATAATTTTATATGAATGGGTTTGAATTTAATCGTCAATATATTTCATTAAATCATCACAACACTGTATATAATATTATGTTTTAAGTATGTGTTTGATTTGATTTTTATGTTCTGTTTCAGTTTTAATATGATTATTATATTTATATAATTATAATACGAATGAAGCGATGATGATGTTATTATTAATATTTTTTGATATTATGATACGAGTTTTTAACTTTAATAAAATCTCTTCCGAAATTTTTAAAAAAGGAAATAAAATGATTTTCATCAAATTTATAATTATAACTGTATCCAACGAGAGTGTTGCATATTGTATAATACATTTGAGATCTGCAAAATTAGGCCCGGCCTGAACGGGCTTCGGGCCAGGCCTATTTTTAAAAAAATCGGGTTCGGTCTGGGTCGGGCCTAATATTTTTAAAAGAAATTCCGGCCAATTAGGGATGGGCCTTAGAAATTTTTTTTTAAATATAACTAAATTTATCAATTTTATGTTGAATTTTATATGTAAAATAAAAATATTTGATTTTATTTATAGAAACTAGACGCCACGCTATATAACATATATCTTTTATTTTGAGTAATTATAAAAATTAATTTATATATTTAGATAAATTCTGCCCTTGCCGATAAATTTTTTTAAAAAAAAATACAGGTTCATGTCGGAAAACAATTTAAAAAAATATCGGCCGGCCGGGCTTGAAAAATTAAGCCTGATGCAGATTACTATAATAATTATGGTAATATATTTTCCTCTCGTTAACCAGCAATTAGTAAGTAATTACTATGTTTAGACCCGGGGTTCAGATGAAACACATTTGCATTTTATATATCCAGTAACAATTTAAATTTTTCTTTATTTCATATTAGAAATTATTTTCTTTTTTTTAAAAAATTTTAAATCAAAATATAAATCCTTTTTATTTCAGTTTTTAAAATAATTTTTGGTATAAAAAAAGGATCAAATCAACAGGCCGGTCGATGGGTCATGGAAACTTTCTTTAAACTTGTTTCAGCATGCCCTGGCTTAATAAATTAGTATCACTATGCCCCTTCATAGTTCAGAATGAGGTGCTAACTTTCTAGCCCCTGTTTAATTTCTAAAAATGCAACTTTTTCTCCTGCCTATTCTGAAGTCAAAATATATAAAATCAATACTTTTTATATAGTTTTAAATTCACATAATTATAGTTAATTTATTTTCAAAGTTTTTAAAGGTAAATGTGTTATTTTAATTATTTTTACAAATAAAATATTTTTAACTTAACAATGGGTTTTATTTTTAACTTAATCAACACAACATGTTTATTAAATCGTCACTACACGAAAAATAATAATTAATAAACAAAAATATAAAAAACGCATGATTGTTAATTAAGGACCCCGGGTCTGAACCCTGGGTTCGTTCTCAGAGCAGGCCTGAGCAAATAAATGGGTCGTAAATTTTACGACCAAGCAAATTAACACTACCCCTTATCTTAATTGCTTTGTTTTATCTATAATCAATATAAATATGAGATTTTAAAAATAACGGCCATACCATATTAGCTTATTTTTATAAATTGCAAAATTTAACAATTAAAAACTTTTTTCAGAGTTGTTAACGTTCCTTAAAAGTAGCTAGCTCCCGCTCCCACTCCTACCTTCTCAAATGTATGATTTTCATTTTTTTACGAAAAAATCATATTTTTTTTATCAAAAATGTTTTATTTATATTGAATGATATATCAATATATTTATAATCTTTTATTAGCTCTTAAAAGTAATAAATTTTCTAAATTTGAATCCAACAAATATCCACGTTTCTGCCCTAAAGCCTGTTTAAACAGGAGCACTATAGGGAAGCGGGGTATTGTATTTTATAAAAATATTTTTTAATTCATGGAATCCAAAAAAATCTTCCAAATCATTGTAGGGTTCCCATGAACTAGCAGCTATTTTTGCATCAGGAATTTGTTTTCTTAAAAAATTAATTAATTTGTATTTTAGTTCCATATTTTGTGCATTTTTATCCATTCCCAATTTAATTTAAATGCAGGTTCATCATTATAAACAATTGAAAATCTGCAATATAGTTATCTAAATAGATAATTTATTTTTTAAAATAAACCTTTTATTAATAGCGCTTATAAGTGACTCTACAAGAGGTTGACAAAACTCTAAATCTGCTAAGCATTTATTTTTAACTAAGTTTAGAAATGGTTGGCGTTAAGAAACCTATATCCATATGAAGTTCCCCTTCAAGGATTTTTAGAGCTTTTGCCAAAGGTTTTATTTTTTTCAATAAGATAACGATTATAATAATATTTACATGGCTATACTCTTTAATAAATTTACGTTCTTGAGAGTTATAACGTATAAGCCCATGGTTATCATATCACATAACTCATCAAGACCTTTTTGTTTTCACTTAATATTTTATCTAACAAAATCATTGATTCATAATACGAATTCCAACTATTGAAATTTGAGCATATCAGATACCTACCCAATTTTTTGATAATATTAACTGCCATATTAATTAGTAGAAATATTTTGTTCATTCCATAAAGATTGACACTTTTGGAAGGAACTTATATTTTAACTGATAACCAATATAAAACTCGGTTTAACATTTAATATTGCATAAATTTAAATAATATAAAATTTCAATTTTTATTAAATTTTAATTAATAAATAAATAGATTTATTAATTCAAAAAATAATTTAACACTAAATTTAAAAGAGCGAGAGCGGCGCTCCTCCACTCCAACCCTAAATGGAGCTATCTCCCGCTCCTGGATTTTTAAAAGGAGGGGGCTCCAGGTGTTTTTTAAAAAGTGAAACAACTCTATTTTTTTAAAAAAAAATCCCCTCTACATTTTTTTAATTTTTGAAAAATAAATCCATAATTAGTATAATTTTAGTCTAGGAGTTTGTGTCCAAAAATTTATTTTTTACTAAAATTACCACAATTTTTAACTGTAAATCCTGTTGGTGATTTATAGACTGTATGAGTGAACGACAGGTAAAGTTATAATAGTGTTAAAATGAAATTCTATAACCAATTGTCGATCAAATGGAGGTGGTAATATTTTTACAATGTAATATAATATTAGCCAAAAAATGTCATATTAATAAAATATGTGGATTAGCAGTCTTAGTTCGAACATCTAAAGACTGGTTTTAACCTTTTTATATACAAACTTACATTATATGTACAAACACTAACATTAAAAATAATGCCTAAAAAACTAATAAAAAAACAGGGATCCAAATCGAAACGAATATCGGTTCGGGTTCAGGTTCGGATAAAAATAACGGTTCAGGTTCGGTTTGTAAAAATTAAAATACCTGTTCGGTTCGAACCTCTAAAAACCGGTTTGAACACTTTTGTATTCAAACCTACATTCGAATTATGTATAAGGAAAATATTTTTTTATTTTATCATTAATTTAAAAAACATATATAAAAACTTCATTTTTATTAATTGCACATTATAAAATAATATTTGATTTATATAAAAATAAAAATATATATCAATGATTAATCTTAATATGAACAATATTTTCCTTTTTTTAACTTAAATTTTTTTTATTAAGCCGCACAATTAATATATTTTCAAAATTCGTCTCACTCAAATTACATCTATAAGGAGATAGCATAAATTTAATTATTGAAACATCTTCACTAACATGGGTAGCCGGCACTGCCAATATGATATCAGATTTGATGTGTCATTTATAATATTTTGGATTTAATTTTTCTCTATGCATTTAAGCTTAAAATATTTTAAAATGACAATATACTAAAATTTATAAAAATTATGACCGACACTTATCAATCAAATATGATTGACGATAATCTTTAAAATAATTCGAATATAATTGAAATCTAATAATAACTTACATATTATTTTATAAGCATAAAATTATGAGACTCGAACCGGTTCAGAGGCATTTTAGCGGTTCGGTTCAGGTTCGGCTGGAATTTTTTTAGAGGTTAGGTTCGGTTCAGGTTTAATAAAAAATACCGGTTTTTAACGGTTCGGTTCAGGTTCGGTTTGGATCCCTGAAAAAAAATATTTTTTTAAAAAATAAAAAAAATCATGCACAATAAATAAGCTAAATAAAATAAGTCATATATATAATATATTTTTAAAAAATAAATATAGTATAATAAACCACCCTTAATTCCTAAGAAAATATATACTAAAAAAATACCTAAAAATCTATCCTTAAAAATCATGCATAAAAAAAGGTAATCTAAAAAAAATAAATTATTTTATTAAAGAAATATATAGAGAAAACTCAGCTTAAAAATCATGCATTAAAAAGTTAAAAAAATAACCTAAATAAAATATAATAAAAAAATTAAAATTTAGTGTTGTTGTTAAATGTCTCGATATGAGCCGATTTTTAAAGACGGCTATAATAGATGTCCAAACCTTAGAGCCATCTACGATCAAAATCTTCAGGCTTGCGTAATATATTTGTTGATAAAATATTGAGTTAATCGTTTTTAAAAATCGACCCAAATTGAACCGTTTAAGAAAAGAAAAAGAGTGAAACTACCTGAAACAAATATATAATTTACATAACAGAGCAGAGTCAACTTAGAGTCGACTAATGCGACTCTTTAAGTCAAGTAGGAGTCGTTTTTTCGACTAGAGGCTCGAATCGCAGCTAAGTCGACTTGGCTTAACTATTTAACAACACTATTCACAGAGACCTGCAGGCCGCCCTTCGGCCGGACCGTATTTTAATTTTTTAAAATATACCCGGGGCGGGCCTGAAAATTTTTTTAAAAGAAAAATCCGTGCCGGGCCGTGCAAATGGTACCTCTGCAGGTCTCTGACTATTCTATATCATTTTTTCAATTTTTTGTAAAAATTTTTATTATGGCAAAAATTGGAGAAAATCCCAATGTTGCCAATTGTCATTTTCTTTTTAATAATCATATAAATATTAGCGTTGTTAAAACTTATTTTTGGAACTTAACTAGTTACAGTTATATTTCAAAAGGAACTAATTACATTATAAATATATAATTTATTTATATAAAAATATAATTACACTGAGAAAAAATCCGGTGAATAGAATATATTTACACGGAAATAAAATATCAGAATATTATATATATATCTGCACTGATTATTTTAATAAAAATTAGGAAATTTTATTAGCTTTTAATAATAACCAATTTTAAAAATTTCTGTCCAACGGGCGGGCTTGTTTCTCTTTAAAAATAAGCCTCCCTAGAGTGAGAAAACGTTCTACGGGAGCACTTGGTTGAGTAGAAAATTATATTTAATTACAAGTAATCATTTAATTTCTTTTTAATTAGTTCAGATGATGGCACAGTTTGTAAATTCCACACTGTTGGAATTTTCATATGGCAATGTTATATGCTTTCTTATAATTATATAAAAAGATCTTGCTGATATCTTATGCTGTTAGTAAGTATAATGTATGACAACATCATTCCCTGAGAAGGTAGTCAAAGTAATTTTAATTATTAAGTTAGTTTAATTTAATTGATAATAATTAAGTCAAACAAAAATCTTGTTACATGGACTTCTAACTAAAACTTAGTACAATTATTTAAGACATATTAATAGATTAAAATTTTGGCGCGTAAAAGGACTAATTTTCAAACTTGTATTTTAATAGGCCTAAGATCAGCATTAAGTATTGCCCTTGTTTCCTTCATATCATCAACCAAATCAGTAAAAAATATTACCGCGCAAATTATTGATAAAGATAATTTATTAGATGAAGCCATACGTTATGGGTTATGTCTTACCAAACACAGTCCCACCAGTTTCAACGAAACAAAAATATTGGGATCAAACATTGGTATCTCGTTCCTTCAACTTGAGCAACCAATATAAATACCTAAGAACACTTAATTTTAACAACTCCGGCCATGAATGGTTGGACTCATATCCCAGCATTTTAAATAACCAACTAATAGATAACCACTCATTTCGTTATGCAATCAATTTACGCCTGGGCGTACCTTTCCTAAACCAATATACTTGCATTAAATGCAATCAATCGGCTGACGCATATGGGAGACACGCTCCAGCCGACATGATAAAATAAATTCAATAATAGCTTCTTTTTTGAATTAAACCAATTTTCCTTGTATTTTAGAATCGACATCTTTTTTAGAAAAAACGTCCCGAAGGCAAAACAATCCTACCGTTTTTAATGGGAAAGCCTTTAATGTGGAATTTTACCTGCATTGATCCCATGGCCCCATCTAATAATTTGCACGTACCACTTAATAGAGCTGAATCTCTAAAAAATCAAAAATACTCGCACCTAATGTGTGACAACCAATTTGTTCCTATAGCAGCTACATCAACCTGCTCTTTGACAAGCGGCATTAAATCGCTTCAAAATAATATCCAAATCAATAAAAAAATCATAGCTTTCTCCATTTTATAAACTCAAGCAGAAAATAACTGTCTCTTTGATTAGATCTAACTATCAAATATTTAAAACATCCTGGTCCGACCTCGACACCTGTTTATTATCTTTTTATAAATATATAGTGTTGTGATGATTTAATGAAACATATTGACGATTAAATTAAAACTCATCCATATAAAATAATTTTCTTTGCAAAAATAATTAAAATAGGAGTAATAAAATTTTCAATAATGCTTTGTTTATATTTTAATTATTTTTGCAAAGAAAATAATTTTATATGGATGGGTTTTAATTTAATCGTCAATATGTTTCATTAAATCATCACAAAACTGTATATATTTTTTAAAAAAACTTGTACTTATATGTGACATATATGACATATTTTACTATATACTTTATATTATACCATCCATGTTATTAAATAATAATATTTTATCATATTTGTATATGAATTTTAATATAAATCAATAGAATGTAATAACATAATGATTTTGACAGATTAATGATAAAATACGAATAATTAATATTGTTTTGTATATTACATCAATGTGCTTTTTTAAAAAAATAAATTGATTAAAAAATGTTGCCAAAAGTACTCATTTAGCGCGAAAGGGTTAAACACCCCTCAATAATTTTAAAAAAAAATAATTGTTAATTTTACTATATTTGAAATTATCATAAAATAAAAGTGTTATTCATGAAGTTTAATACAATACTATCAGGGCATGGGAAGACTTTAATATGGCTAAAAATATATTTAAGGATAAATGTGGATAAAATTCTAGAATGTTTTATTATTAAAAGCTAATAATATTTTTTAATAATTTAATTATGTATTTTATGTATAAATAAAATAATTTGAATAAAAAATATTTGGTTTACTTGAAAATTTTTTAAGAATGTAACTGTGTCTAGATATAGTTTTATGCCAAGTATCTCTTAATACGTTTGAAATATCTTTTAACATTTAAGGGGATGTTAAACTACCTAATAGGGTTCAGGAGGCAATGCAGATGCAAGTTGAGGCGGAACGTAAAAAGAGAGCGGCTATATTGGAATCGGAAGGTTATATAATTAAAATCATTATTTTTAGCTTTCTAAATTTTTAATGGCATTAAAATCATGTATCATGCCTAATTATACAAATATTATATTGACACAATGATACAGGTATGAGAGAGTCAGCCATAAATATTGCAGAAGGAGAAAAATCCGCCAGAATTATGTCGTCGGAAGCAGAAAAGGCTGAAAAAATTAATGTTGCAAATGGTTAACATCCTTAACTTATTAAATAATTAATATGTTAGATAATTTTTTTAATTATTTATTTTATTTATAGGAGAAGCAGAAGGGTTGATAGCTAAAGCAATAGCTCGATCCAAATCATTGGATATAATTTCCAAAGCATTAAGTCTGAAAGTGTGTTTTAACATTTATAATCTTATTTATTTATTTTTCTATGACAAGGATGGTAAAAGTGCAGCATCGTTTGCTATAGCTGAACAGTATGTTAAGACTTTTGGGAATTTGGCAAAACAAAATAATACATTGATCCTACCTGCTCAAACCGGAGATGTTTCAAGCATGGTGGCACAGGTTTCCAATTAATTTGGCCCATTAAAAAACTTGATATTAGTGATCTGCATCGGGCCTAATTTTTCAATGAAATTTTTTTTTAAAAATTTTGCTGGCTCGAACCCGAAATTTTTTTTACCGGTCCAGCCCTAATTTATATAAATATAGAAATTAAATTTTATAATTACTCAAAATAAAAGATATATGTTATATGGCGTCTAGTTTCTATAAATAAAATCAAATATTTTTATTTTTCATTAAAAATTCAACTTAAAATTCATAGATTTAGAAATATTTTTAAAAAAAATACAAAGCTCGACCCGACCTGGCCCGATTTTTTAAAAAAAACATTAGGCCCGACACAGTGCGAACCTGATTTCTTTTTAAAAATAGGCCCGACACAGTGCGAACCTGATTTCTTTTTAAAAATAGGCCTTAAGCCCTTCCGGGCCAGCTACTTTTGCAGATCTCTACTTGATCTTCTCCATTTTATGTCGATTTCCAGGTTTACCTAGGTAGGTCAGTTTTCCCTCTGATTTTTCTTTTCTATTTTTGAGGGTCCTGAGGACATCGCTATCACATTTGTCCACATCATCTTGGGCCTTCCTCTAGGTCTTGATCCTCCTACTTCCATCAAGGTACATCTCTTTACCCAGTCATCTTCATATGCTCCACATGCCCAAACCATCTTATTCTACGCATTACAACTCCATTTATTTCTATACCCAATCTTGCTCGCAATTCCTTGCTGGTTTTTCTCTCTCAGAGAAACCCTACACATCCATCTAATCATTATCTCTGTTCTTTCTAATTTGGCTTCGTGAGTCGCTTTCATTGCCCATGTTTTGCCGTCATAAACTAAACAACCTCACACAGCTTATGTAATTTTTCCCCTTTAACTTCAGAGAAACCTTTTTATTTGTAAGAATAGACTACATCTCTGAACTTTTTCAAAGCTTGTCTCACCCTTGCAACAACGGTAGAATACCACCATCTGCGTTTAGCATATCACCCAAATAACAAAACTTATCCACTTTCCTAGGGTTAACCCATTGCCAATATCCAGACCACCATTTTCTTCGCTATCATTATTATGTACCCCTTTTATGCACGTTCTACAAATAAAGGTCATTCTTGCTAACATCAAACTTCCTTTTTTCCCGTTACATCTATTGCACCCATTTCTGGCATCTGATGCATTGGATTTAATTTCTAGCAACTCTTTTCCCACATACACCACAAGGCCAGGCCGGATTCCTCCATCTTCATATTATCCACACCAATCATCACCTTTGTCTTTGCTGCATTCATTTTCAGGCCCTTTGTTTCGATGGCCATCTTCCATTTACTAATTTTATCCCTCAATTCTTCCTCACTGTTTGCCATTAATACAAGGTCATCTGCATATAATAGCACCCAGAGAAGTCCTTCATGCCTTCTCTAGCCACCACATCCATTACTAAGATAAATAATAATGGACTCAGTACGGATCCTTGATGAAGTTCTACCTTCACTTCAAAGCTTTCACTATCTCCACCATCCGTTCGTACTGCTGTTTGTGCTCCCACATACATGCCATCACTGCGATAATCAACTATTCCTCCACACCTAATTTTTTCAAGGCCTATCTAGCAACCTCGCGCGGCACCCTGTCAAATGCTTTCTCCAAATCAACAAACGCATACAGCTTCTTTTCCTTCCTAAAATACTTCTCTATTTGTCTCACCACAAAAATTGCATCTGTCGTGCCTTTCCTCGATGTAAAGCCAAACTCCATTTCATCAATTTCAGTTTGTTCCCTTATCCGCTTCTCTAATACCCTCTCAAATACTTTCATTGCATGTTCCAAGAGTTTAATAGCTCTGTAAAACCCGTAATCTAAAGGATTACTTTTTCCCTTTTATACTGGGAAAATTATACTTCTTCGCCAGTCCTCGGGAATAGTTCCTTCTGTGGCAATTTGATTTGCCAAATTCATTAACCATTCAATCCCTAAGTCATCAGAACCTTTAAACATCTCTGATACACCATCGTTAAACCCGATGCCTTCCCTTTTTTCATCTTTTTCACTGCTCTCTTTATTTCGTCCATGCCAAATTTACACCCTGGACCTTCTACCTTTCCACAACTAACATTATTATCCCATTCATTTTTTTCGTTCAAAAGTCCTTCCATGTAGATCTTCCAGGTGTTACCATTACTATCAATCACCATTTTTCCTTCCATATTTTTTAAACATCTAACACCTACCACATTTTGCCATCTGCTTTGCCATTCGATCCACATTTCCCATTCCTTCAGCGCATTCTATTTCTTTAGCAAACTCCTACCTTTTATCTTCTTGCGCCTTCGCTATTAATTTCTTAGCATTTCTTTTTGCCATCTTGTAAATATCGTTATCACTATTATCTTTACTATTATACCATTCTTTGAAGCACCTGCGTTTCTCATCCACAGCTTTCGCTACCTCTGGGTTCCACCACCAAGTTTCCTTATGTCTAGGGCCCTTTCGTCCATCAAGTACCTCCTCAGTTATCATCACCCAGGCTTTCTTCATGGCTTCCCACTTGTCATTTACTCCAGATATCGTGCCACCTCCACCTCCTTTATCGCCAATGTCATATTGAATTGTCGTCTTGCACAAACTTTCTTTTATTGATCCTGGCACCTATAAAAGTAAGATCTCCTATAACTAGTCGATGCTGATTAATACATTCCTCTCCCAGTATTACTTTAATATTTTTTATTATACATCTATCACATCTCCTTAATAACAAATAATCCACCTCACTTTTGGTACTACCCGATTATAAGTCACAATTTCTGATTCTTTCTTAAACATTGTATTACAGGCAATCATATCCATAGCATCTCTAAAATCCTCTCCCCAGATTCCTTCCTCATGCCGTAACTACTCTTCTTGTACTACTTCATAACCCTCACTACTCGCTCCTACATGTCCACTGAGATCACCAGCCAGGATAATCCCCTCTTAATTTGCCAGTCTCGATGTAACCACCAGAAGACTGTCCCAAAATATATCTTTCTCTTCTTCACTTCTTCCAACCTGAGCAACATATGCCGAGATAATATATAGCTTTCTACCAAAATCATCTTGATAACCATATCATCTAGCCTTCTCACGATTACTTTGTCTAGCAATTTCTCTGCAATCAATACCCCAACTCCAGCCTTATTATCTTTACTTCCTTGCCAAAAGAATTTATACCTTTCACTAGTTTTGCCAATCATTCTTGAGCCATTTCCTTTCTACCTGGTCTCCTGTATGCTGCCCACATCTATATGCCTTCTATGCAATACATCGACTATTTCTCCCGCTCTTTCCTTCATACTCCCAACATTCCATGTCGCGACCCTTACTCGATCCCCCTTAAACTGGTTTCTCTACATATTATCAGGTCGTTTATGGCCGTCATAAGTTTCATTTTATGAATCGTGGTTCCACCAGGTTTCCCATCTATATTTTGTCGTAGGCGGATGAGGAGGCCCCCGCGGTATTTTGGGCTCTACCCCCCCCCCCCCCATGCTTTGTTGTAACCATAGGGAAATTTTGTAGCAAGATTTTTACAATCGGATGCCCTTCCTGACATCAACCCCTTTAAGTGGTTTTTACACCCCGTTGAGGAGACGGTGATCCTATTCTAGACCCAGATCACAGGGAACCTTTAACACCTCCATTAGCCGCCAAAAGACGTTGCCACTCCCCCACTACGATGAGGCTGAAGGTAAGGTTTGGGAGAGAGATCTCTACTTGATATTAATATAAAATTAAATAAACTAAAAGAACTTGATTTCAAGTAAAATTAAATAAATAGTCTAATATATAAAAAATTGTGTAAGATAATATTAATATATAATTTTAAGATAAACTGTAGCAAACATTATCACAACTTATATAGAGTATAAATTTTATCAACATATACTTAAAAAGGCTTTATCCATTTTCAAATCCATATCAAATGCGTCTAAATCAGATGCAATAAAAAATGAAGAAGAAATGCTTGAATCACCTCAATCAGGAGAATCTAGAAATGATATAAAAGATAAATTTATTTCAAATAGTCATCGAAAATGGTGATATTACAAAAATAATTTTATCATACTATTTTATAACTATATCGATCAAGAATAAAATTGGGAAATGTGTAATTGTTTCATTGCCTAATTTTGCTGAATAACATTTTATATTAAAAGTGTTTTGAGTTATTATTTTTTAAATTTAATCTTGTAGTCTAAATTTTGGCTATTGCCTATAATCTTATTTTTTGAAGATTCCATCAATAATAAATCAATTAATTATAACAAGATTAATACTCAATCCAATCAAATGTGAATTTTATTCACCTTTAATTGTTAAATCTTGAAATTAACTTAAAAAATACACTTGAATTAATCCTTAAAAAATTTCATGGCCCCCTTGGATGCAAGCTTCACTTCCATCTAATAGGCATTGGTTGACTAATACCATTACAGCTATCCTTATGTCACCTGCAAAATTTAATCTGGCGATTCCTTTATTGTTGATTCACATCAAGTCATTGCGCTTGGCTTTGGATTAGAAACGCCCCAAACAGTACATGTCCTAACTCCTGCTGACAAAATGACTGGGATTTAACTTTAACACAACATTCCGTTGAATACCTACACTTGAATGCAGTGCAAAAGAATTCCCCATCTCTCTTGGATCATTATAAAAGTCCTTTAACTAAAGTACCAATAATTCCATTCCCGAATCAAGCATATTGACTACTAATATATCTCCACTTCACATAGGCTGCATTCACAATGGAGAGCGACACAACATTAAGTGACAGCAGCTAATTTGTTGTAAGTGACATTGCATTTTTCTTTTTTTTAATCGACTCTGAAATTGATCTTAGTATATCGTTTTATGCTAAGGCGAAGAAAGAATACTTTAAATAAGCAGAGGAAGGAGAGTATGGTGTGCTTTTCCAAACTTTTTAAACAATCCTGATTTTTTTTAAAATTATATGTGGTTAACCAAAGTAATTCATATTTTTAATTTTTTAATCACGTTTTCTCACGTTTTTTTAGCAAATTAAAATAATCACACTTTTTTCACGTTTTTTTAAAAAAAATTTAAAAGCAAATTTAGAATGATCTGCATAGGGCCTAATTTTTCAGCACGGCCCGAAATATTTTTAAAAAAATTTTCTTGGCCCTGTCCGAACCCGATTTTTTTTTGCTAATCCCAAAATAAAAATTATTTGTCCGCCCGATAGAAATTAATTTTTTTATAGTTTTTTACTATTAGCTTGTAGCTTATTTTTGTATTACATACAATAGACATTTATTTAGTATTTAATTATTTTTTTAAATACTACTATTAAAAATAACTATTAACCAATCAAATAATTATTATATTATAATATTAAGTTATGTATGTTGTATGAGGAAAGTTAAAGGTATTGAATTTTATAAAGATGACATAAATTTCTTATTATAGCGTCCAATAAAAATTTACATCACATGTTCCAAAGGGGTCAGATAATTTTAAAAAGGGAAAAATAAATATCATTATCTTGGCAGGGGATAAAAAAGAACTATATGTATATATTTAAAAAAATTAGTTTATATCTATTTTTTTCTAGGAAAATAAATATTTTATTTTGTATATAATACAGACTAGATGACTGCATCCCAATATTTTAAATAAAATTAACCCGTCCACCCAGCTCGCCCATAATTTTCAAAATATATACTAGCCCTCCCTTTCCATTTGTCTAAAATTCCTTACCCGCCCGCCCATTAGTCTAAAATTTTTTACCCGCCGACCCATTATTTAAAAAAAATTTAACCCAAGCCCTCTTATAAAATTTAATTATAGCCATTTCAATTTTTTAATCATCTAATAAAAATATTTCAATTAAAAAAATTTAGTAAGGAGATTTATTATTTTTAATAAAAAAGAACAGAAAAAAAATAATTAAAATTGATAATGCTAAAGGCATGTGTTTAATTGTGTATATATATACCAATAGATATTTTGTCTATATTATATATATAGTATATTAATCTTCTTATCTTATCTAGCACGTTGATTATGGACCTGCCCAAAATGAGCGAACGTGAATTACTATAGAGGCCCTATCGTCCATAATAATTACGCCGATTTTTTCCCTCAAGGATACCAACAAACCTTGTAACCCAGATATAATTATTAAAGGTGTGGAACTCACCCAATCCAATAATAATATTGGCATAAGGAATAGTTATGAGTATTTTTGAAAAAGCGAAAACTGAAAAAAAGAGGTACTGTATCATTCAATACAAATTATTAGTTTTTTTATTATTATAAAAATTATTTTTTATTGTTGATCCTTGAGCATATTTAATAGGATTATTTTATTTCATTTAGATAATTTATGATTTGTTACCAATTAATTAGTTAGAAGATATAAAAAATATATTTTGGTTTTTATAATTATTTAGTTAAATATACCTATTTAACCTATTTGTACCTTGATTCTCATAGTGTAATGGTTAACCTATTTATAATTTTTTTACAACTTGAAATACTTTAATCCGCCTTCATTTACTATAACCCTAATCAAATTAAATTCTACTCTTAGATATAGATCAAAACAATATATGAAATTGTATTTTTAAATAATATAATAAATTTAACTTACTCTTCTTGACTTGTTTATTTAGAATAAATGACTTCCTTTACACTTCCTTTCCACACAATAGCCTTTCAGGTATATTCTCAGCAGTTATTCGTCAAGTGTTCATAGATAAGTCTTAGTACAATTTTGTAAGTTTTCCTATCAGAAGAAGCACGTTGTATAAAATCCCAAGATAAACCTATTCCCGATAATGATCGATTTAATCTCCCAAACCAACTATGCGATGACTCATCCAAAGGGGTAATAAAAAGAGCTTGATAAACTAGGTTGTTTGGGGCTTGTCTGAGAATATGCCCTAATACTTCGATTTTTCTATATTCACCCAGTCTATATATAGGGAAGGTGTCGCATCTGGACCAAAGATTATAGTTCGTAGTATTATAAGGATAGAATTTTTTGGTTATATACCTAAGACATTTGTTAACGAAAGTTTGCATCTTTTTACTTTCTTGTTTAGTATCTTTCCAGGTTTCTATACCATAAAATAGAGAGGAGAATATTAGAATTTTAAATAATCGAATCTTTAAAGGAATTGATATTTGATTAGAACTCCATATTTTCATTAAAGATCTATATTTCATTCTGCCTTTATTTAATTTGGCTATTAAGTCTAGTTTAGTATTTCCTTTTCTATCCAGTATCACTACTAGATATTTTAATTGTTGAACTTCTACTATTTTTCTCCCTTGTATCGTTAGATTCATATTTGAAGGGGGGTATAATGATGTCATCAACTTAGTTTTATCAACATTTATTTTTAAACCAAAAAAACCAGCAGCTTGGATAACCATATCCACTAGCAATTGAAGGTGTGATAAGAATCTCCCATAATGCAAAGATCATCAGCAAATGCAAGAATATTAAATTTCGCTATAGGTATCTGAACCAAGCATTGTTTAGTCACTCTTTATGATATAATTTGTAATAAAATTAAAAAGAAGAGGAGAAAGGACACATCCCTGTTTCAGACCTATCTTAACTGGAATTTTTGATGATTTATGACCTGCGTGGATAATTTGGATCGAGTAATCATTATAGATATTTTTTAATATTTTTACCAAAGAAGTTGGCGTATTAACTTCTTCTAAAGCTTTCCATAAACTGTCGTGGATAATCGTATCAAAAGCTTTCCTAAAATCAAGAGCTATAATTATAATAGCCTTTTCCGTATAATAGATTTCTCTATTTGTATTTTTAGATTGAGAATAGCTTCAAGAGCATTATGTCCCTTCCTAAATGAAACTATTGAATCCCCATAATCTCGTTCCACAAAAGGTTTGAGACGATTTAGGATAATGTTAGTGAAAATCTTATAGATTATAGAATTCAGTGAAATTCCTCTCCAATCCCCTAGAGCTTTAGGATGCTTAGTTTTGGGGAAATTAATTAGGACAGCCGTTAGTCAATCACTAGGGCAGGTCCCTTCCTTCCATACTCTCGTTATGATTGGGAAAAGAATTTCGGCAGATAATATAGGGTCAGTTTTTAAATATTCGCTACGAATAATATCTTGTCCACACGCCTTGTGATTTTTTAGTTTCTTTATTATACTTATTATTTCACTCTTAATAGGATCTAAGATTCTATTTGAATTTGGGAATAAGGTAGAGAGGGAAAATTGTGTAGATGAAGATGTAGTATCATGAGTAATATTATCTTGTGGGAGAATTAATTGCGGGGGCCAGAGGTTCGAAGAAGATGGACCATGGTGAACGGAGGAAGGACCTTGGTTTGGTAAATGTAATAATTTTGACGGCGAGAGATTAAAGGAAGAAGAACTTTGATCGGAAAGGCATTGAGGATGGCAGTATAATAAAGAAACTAAAAAATCACAAGCGTGTGGACAAGATATTATTCGTAGCGAATATTTAAAAACTGACCCTATATTATCTGCCGAAATTCTTTTCCCAATCATAACGAGAGTATGGAAGGAAGGGACCTGCCCTAGTGATTGACTAACGGCTGTCCTAATTAATTTCCCCAAAACTAAGCATCCTAAAGCTCTAGGGGATTGGAGAGGAATTTCACTGAATTCTATAATCTATAAGATTTTCACTAACATTATCCTAAATCGTCTCAAACCTTTTGTGGAACGAGATTATGGGGATTCAATAGTTTCATTTAGGAAGGGACATAATGCTCTTGAAGCTATTCTTAATCTAAAAATACAAATAGAGAAATCTATTATACGGAAAAGGCTATTATAATTATAGCTCTTGATTTTAGGAAAGCTTTTGATACGATTATCCACGACAGTTTATGGAAAGCTTTAGAAGAAGTTAATACGCCAACTTCTTTGGTAAAAATATTAAAAAATATCTATAATGATTACTCGATCCAAATTATCCACGCAGGTCATAAATCATCAAAAATTCCAGTTAAGATAGGTCTGAAACAGGGATGTGTCCTTTCTCCTCTTCTTTTTAATTTTATTACAAATTATATCATAAAGAGTGACTAAACAATGCTTGGTTCAGATACCTATAGCGAAATTTAATATTCTTGCATTTGCTGATGATCTTTGCATTATGGGAGATTCTTATCACACCTTCAATTGCTAGTGGATATGGTTATCCAAGCTGCTGGTTTTTTTGGTTTAAAAATAAATGTTGATAAAACTAAGTTGATGACATCATTATACCCCCCTTCAAATATGAATCTAACGATACAAGGGAGAAAAATAGTAGAAGTTCAACAATTAAAATATCTAGTAGTGATACTGGATAGAAAAGGAAATACTAAACTAGACTTAATAGCCAAATTAAATAAAGGCAGAATGAAATATAGATCTTTAATGAAAATATGGAGTTCTAATCAAATATCAATTCCTTTAAAGATTCGATTATTTAAAATTCTAATATTCTCCTCTCTATTTTATGGTATAGAAACCTGGAAAGATACTAAACAAGAAAGTAAAAAGATGCAAACTTTCGTTAACAAATGTCTTAGGTATATAACCAAAACATTCTATCCTTATAATACTACGAACTATAATCTTTGGTCCAGATGCGACACCTTCCCTATATATAGACTGGGTGAATATAGAAAAATCGAAGTATTAGGGCATATTCTCAGACAAGCCCCAAACAACCTAGTTTATCAAGCTCTTTTTATTACCCCTTTGGATGAGTCATCGCATAGTTGGTTTGGGAGATTAAATCGATCATTATCGGGAATAGGTTTATCTTGGGATTTTATACAACGTGCTTCTTCTGATAGGAAAACTTACAAAATTGTACTAAGACTTATCTATGAACACTTGACGAATAACTGCTGAGAATATACCTGAAAGGCTATTGTGTGGAAAGGAAGTCATTTATTCTAAATAAACAAGTCAAGAAGAGTAAGTTAAATTTATTATATTATTTAAAAATACAATTTCATATATTGTTTTGATCTATATCTAAGAGTAGAATTTAATTTGATTAGGGTTATAGTAAATGAAGGCGGATTAAAGTATTTCAAGTTGTAAAAAAATTATAAATAGGTTAACCATTACACTATGAGAATCAAGGTACAAATAGGTTAAATAGGTATATTTAACTAAATAATTATAAAAACCAAAATATATTTTTTATATCTTCTAACTAATTAATTGGTAACAAATCAGAAATTATCTAAATGAAATAAAATAATCCTATTAAATAAGATCCTTGCTCAAGGATCAACAATAAAAAATAATTTTTATAATAATAAAAAAACTAATAACTTTTTTTCAGTTCTCGCTTTCTCAAAAATATTCATAACTATTCCTTATGCCAATATTATGGATTAGGTGAGTTCCACACCTTTAATAATTATATCTGGGTTACAAGGTTTGTTGGTATCCTTGAGGAAAAAAATGGCATAATAATTATGGAGGATACCTTTATAGTAATTAGGCCTAAAACGAATTATTTGTTATTTTATATTCGATTCGTATTTTACGAATACGAATAACACAATTATTCGATTCGAAATTTCGAATATGAATAATGAGGAAAATTATTCGAAATTATTTATATATAAATATTCGTAATTATTCGCAAATATTTTATTGCAAGTAAAATAAAAAGAAGTTTAAATTTTCCTAGTGGATATCATTTCGTTTTATTTTATTTCCTATTATCAAATATCAAATCATAACAAGTTATATTTGCTGAAAAAGTTTAATGGAAGAAAAGGAAAAGCTTCAAAGTAAAATATAATTATTTTATTTTGATTGTTTCTCTTTAATCATTTTTGATGTTATTGAACAAGTCAAAACATTTTTATAGTGTGTGCCTCTTTCCCATATTCTCGAGCTCCTGACATATAAATAACTAAATTTTTTTGACTAGTTCTTATTATTTGATTAGGAAAATCCTTTTCACATTTAGTAACCTTATTTTTGACAAATTTTAAAGACAATTTACATTGTCATAATCACCTCTAAAAATTATATTAATAATTAAATAAAGGAAATTTATGCTACTAAAGTATTTTTAATAAATAAAATCTATAATGAAATACTTTCTAAAATTTTGTTATATTTTGTATGCAAATATTAAAAATGTAAATATTTTAAATAGATTATAATTTTAAAAATTTTATTTTGTCATAATCACCTTCACTAAATATTTTTTTATAAGCAATTCTAATTCTAAAAATCGGATATTTTGGTCAATTTGTTTGGTTAACGTTATATGAAATCATTGGGTTTTATTTCGTTTATTTTCTATAAATTTTTATATTGTAATGACAATTAGTTTAGAGAATCCTTAAAAGTGTCATCTTTAAACATCTGTAAAATTTTTTTTGCAAAATATTTTATAAGCTTTAGAAAAATTTTCGAATCGAAACGAATAATAATTTTATTATTCGTACTAATACGAATAGCATTCGAATTTTCGATCATTTTTTTGTAGGCCTAATAGTAATTCACGTTCACTCATTTTGGGCAGGTCCATGACCAACGTGCTAGATAAGATAAGAAGATTAATATACTATATATAATATAGACAAAGTTATCGGTATATATATACACAATTAAACATGCCTTTTGCATATAAAGAAAGATTAAAATACTATACTGGTAGAGTGATACCATAAAACCTCATATGTTGTTTGTTTTAAATTTACAACAATATGTTGTTGGATATTATTAAATGACTTTTTGACTATTATTTTGCTTATTATGTATATTGATATTGCTAACAAATATTTTTATTGTATTTAAACCTCGCCAATTAAAATAAAATAAGAAACGCTTTCATATTATGTATACTATACTTTGTTGAAATGTATATTTTCATAGTTGATTTTTTTTTGAAAAACAATCATAAATTTACACGGATTTTTTAATAAAAATTATACGAGATATTTATTATGAAATACTTTTAAAACAAATTATATTCAAAACACCAATAAAATCCAATATAATATATGTGATGATTTACCTCATAAATGACTTTAATAAGTTTATCTCATAAAGTATATTTTCGTATAAACACATGTATTGTAACTAATATTTCATGTCAAATAGAAAGTACTATGAACGATAAAACAGAACAAAAATCGATATAATTCGAAGGTGCTATTCGGTAAATGATATACGAAATGACTCATACCAAAATTACGATAATGGACGAATTGGAGGATCGATAAATTTTAAGAGATGGATACTGGGCTTATGAAGGGTGGGCGTGTCGCAGTTGTTTAATAAAATACTGCGAAGAATAATATTTTTTAATGAACGTCAATCAAAATATATTTTGTTTTTTTTTAATTTTATTTTTTTTATAAAAAATATTATGATAAGAATTTTGATTTG